CTCTCCTTCTTCAGCAGCATCTCCAGTTCTGCCCCAGATAAGGCCCGAGGCAGCGGCAGAGCCCCAGGCAGGGGTGCTGGGGGGGCCCTGCCTGCCACAGGTCGCCCCAAGTCCCGGCCCCGCTGCCTGGCAGCATCCTCTGCAGCGCCGTGGATCGCCCTCGACTCCAAATCCTTGCTGTATTCTGCCTGGTCAGGCAAGGAAAGCCATCTCAGCTCTGCTGCTTCGTGCATTTACTTTAATTTTTTTATTATTTTTGCATTTATTTTTAAATTTTTGCATATTTTTAATTTTTGGAAGTACCCGGTGTTTGGTGCTGGGGCTGTTTGTGCCCCATCCCGCAGGGGCCAGGGCGACGCCGGCCCCGGCTGCGACAGGAGGCAGCCGGCCGGGATGAAGCTCTGCCTCTCCTCCTGATCCGGCCAAGGAAACCCCCCCAGCCCAGGCCAGACCCTGCGACCGCCTTCCCTCGTTATTTATTGCCAATGAAAGGTTGAGGCTGGGAAGTGCATGGCCAGATCCTGGCCCCACGCAACGCTGCATCTGGAGGCATTGCCTTCCATGGCCTGGAAAGCAGAAAACTCCCTGAAAGTGCTGGTGCAACCACAAGCCCAAGGGGTGGGTGCTCAGCACCCCATGGGACCCTGCCTCATCCCCCTCCGGCCGTTCATCCCTGCTGCCCCAGCCTGGTGCTGGCTACAGCACCAACTTCTCTGGCAATGGGTCCCATCCTTCCTCGTCCCTGATGATGATGGGTTTGTCGGAGATGAGCAGGGCAATGGGGACCAGCAACGGGCGCAGCCCCTGCCTTCCCTCTTCCTCCTTCTCCTCCTCCTCTTCCTCCTCCTCCTCCTTCTCGCTAGCCGGGAGGCCGGAGCAGCCAGTGCTGCCAGGCGGTGGAAATGCAGCCAGGCTCAGCAACTCCTGCCTCCGGTAGGCGAATGGCAGCTCCTTCTCACAGCCCAGCAGGCGCACCGCCACCGGTTCTTTGGCCGTGGGGCTGGGCTGCGGCGTGCTGGGCCGTGTGCCGGCGTCCGTCATCTCCTTGCCGGGATTCAGCTCCGTTAGCAGCAGCTCAGCCGGGCTGAAACTCTCCGAGGGCTCCACAAAGCCTGGCCGGGGCTGGCCCTAAGGGTCGGATGTGCTTGGGATGGGAACGTGCCGTGCCAGGGCCGTGCAGGGGCGCCTGCTGGGGTGCAGGATCCAGCCCCTCCTGCACCTTGCATCTCACCTGGCTCATTTCACCGGCGCCGAACTGGATGGCTTTGCTGCCCATGGGCTTAGGCAGGGGTGGGAAGAGGAGGCGGCGAGCCTGGGATCAGAGCGGGGTGGGGGCGAGGGTGCTGCCATCACCTCTTTTTGCTCAGCTGGTAGATGGCGGCCACGGCCGGGAGACTGAGCGAGATGCCCAGGTACTTCAGGTTGGATTTCCACGCTGCTCCCTGGGGACCTGGGGGCGGGCGCAGCGGGATGGTGGGCATTTCTGTCCCCAGCACCCCGCGTGGGACACAGGAGCTGTTTCGGGGCAAGGGCAAGCACCCCATGGAGAGCACCCCATGGGGACCAGGGAGGGGACAGGGTCTCCAGCCATTACCCAGTGCCTTGGTCTGGAAGTGCCACCAAGCGTTGCACATCCCCCTGCTCTCCGCTGTCACCTCCCAAACGCCCACCCTGTAGGCTGTGCCGGGCCGTAGGTTTTGGAGGGTGTAGTGTGACGCCGTGGCATCCGCTTCGCCATCTGGGCAAATGATAACAAACAGGCAGTAGTCTGGCAGCTGCCTGCAGATTGCAGGCAGCGCCATCCTCCTGTCCCGCAGGGATGGGGGGTCCCGCTCACAGGTCACGTTGTCCCCCTCGGCCGCGTGGCAGATGAGGTACTTGGCCAGTGCCCCGGGGCAGGCGGCACGGGGGGACGGGCTCCACCAGAGGACGACGGTGGTGGCATCCCCGGCACTGGCGTTGATGCGGATGGGCACGGCCAGCGAGGCTGCACGTGGTGGGGGGGTGTGCAAAAAAAAATGGGGGAGCGTTTCAGGAACCTCCTTTTTGCAGTGAAACTGGGCGCGGATGCTCGGTGTTGCCATACGTACCGTTGCCAGTGTAGTGGTGCTGCAGGGCGAAGGTGGACCAGCCCCGTGCCAGGGCCCAGCCGTGCACGGCGAGGCGGTAACACGCCGGTGCTTCCACTGCTCCTGGAGCAGGAACCAGGGATGTTGGTTAAACCCACACCAGAATCCAGCCCCAGGCAGGGGGCACGGGGAGGGGGCTCAGGGCGCTCCCTTGCCTCTCTCCACATGGATGCTCTTGGCAGGGAAATCCCGTCGGATGCAAAGGCCCGGTTTTGGAGCTGGTGGCGGGAGCTGCTGCGCCCGCTGCAAGCATGGCAGCTGCTGCCACTGCTCGAAGCAGTAGGCTAAGCCAGGGCTTGGTGCTTCCCACCGCGCCAACAAGGTGCCGCCAGCCACGCTGACATCCTTGAAGCCGAGATCTGGGATGAAACGGGGAGTGCAAGGGATGGCTGGGAAAATAACTCCCTCGAGGCTGCCGGGGAGCTCAGTCCTTCTGCGGAGCGGGTACCTGCATGCTGCTCTGCCTGCACCCGGAGCTGCTGTGCCGGCCCCGTCCCGGCAGCGTTGGCCGCTGTCAGCAGGATTTCGTACTCGGCCCCGGAGAGGGTGAGGTTGTGTGCTGTCACCTCCCTCCCCAGCACCACGGCGTCCTCCTCGGCCGGCTCGGCACAGTGGCACGCCAGCATGCGGGCACGCAGCGTGTAGGTGACGTCCCCCTGCTCCTCGGGGGCTCGCTGGGGGAGGGACAGGCGGTGGCTTGGAGGATGAAATGGCGGGGGGACACCCAGGAGGGTCCCTGGGGGATGCCGCCGTACCTGCCAGCCCAGCCTCAGCACCCGTTGCCCATCTCTCCCCAGATTTCCCAGCTGGTAGCTCAACGCTGGGCTCTCCAGGATTTCTGCAAGAGGAACGAGCCCGGATGGGCTATTGGCATTTTTGGGAGCCGTTGGGATCCCACCCACTTCTTCTCTTCTTCCTCACCCTCGGGAACAAAGATGGAGCTGCTCCAGTCACTCCAGTAGCTGCTCCAGTGGCGGGGCTTGTGCCGGAGCTGGACCTCGAAGGCGCCGTTCCCCCCCAGGGCGCAGGTCACTAGAGAGGGGTGGCAGGGTCAGGCAGGGGGTGACCCCCCCCCTTTTCGCCAGTTTTTGGCCATCGCAGGGTGCTGGGGGGCCAGGGGAAAGCACAGGGCAGAGCCCCCCCATCAGGACCTGGGAACACCCCCAGGGGATGCTCGTCCCCCACAGCTCTGCGGGCTAAACCGACCTGAGTCATCCTCATCTGTCACCGTCTCACACATCACCTGCAGAGAGAACTGGAGATGGAGGCACCCGCCCAGTAAAACCAGCATGTTACTGGGACATGAAAGCAGATGCTGCCCTATGTCCCCTGAACATCCCAGGGGCTGGGAGAGCCAAACGGGGTGCAGGGGACATGGTGGCCAGGAGGGTCCCCTTGGCCGGGGTACCACGGCTTCGGCCCCAGGACCCTCCTGGCAGCAGTCAGAAGGGTGGGGGGTCCCTGGCTGCAGGGGGTTTCACTGGGGACGAGCGGCTGGATTTCATCCGTTGTCATCGTTAGTCTAATCTGGGTTTTGCCTGTGTAATCCCCGCGAATCGCAGCCTGATCCTTTTACGGGTGGCAGCAGGATCCCGTGGCCGGGAGGATGGAGCAGAGACAATAACACCATGAAACAGATGGGACATGGATGGTTTTAGCGGGGGGGGGTGTGGCGTCACCGAGCCCCCGCACTCCCCAGGCTGCCTGGGCTGCCACAACGCTACTGACCATCCCGTCGGTCACCACCGGCTCCGGCAAATGGCGTTTTTACCTGTGTCCAGCCATGGTCACCCATCCTCTGGAAGCGAGCCTCCCTCTGGGGGCCCCCGCCCCCCCCAGCCACAGCCGGCCACCGGTCTTGGTGAAGGGCATCCCAGTGGAGGGTGGATCTGGCTTGACTGAAAAGACGAGGTGGTCTCGTGGTTATTGGCACCAGTGCTGGCGCCCAGCCCAGCCCCGCAGGTGCTTACCGGCCTCGTTGAGGTACAGCGTGAGGTTCGGGGTCCTGTGGACGTGGTCCCCCCAGCGCGCCTCCACCCAGGCTGTGGCATTGGTGAGGACGTAAATGTGGTGATGCTTCAGGGTGTACGTCGTCCTCGCGCCCGCCTGGAACTGCTGGCACAGCCTGGGCACCACGTAGCTGCGGGGGGAGCGGGCGCAAGGTCGGATCTGGATGGGGCAGCACTCGCCCTCCGGGTGGGCTTGGGATGCGGAGGGCACATGTCCCCATGTGTCCCCATGAGTCCCAGTCAGGACACGTCCCATGGGCTCCCCAGGATGCGGCGCCCGACTCACCAGAGCGTCAGGATGTAGGAGGTGTTGCCGGCGGGGCCGCAGGGCGGCCAGGAGCAGAGGAACCAGCGGGAGCCGCATTGCTTCCAGCAGGAAAAGCTGGGGACTGCAGCGGTGCCTGTGGGAGAGGGCAGTGGCTGGGGGCTCCTGCACCCCAAACCCTGGCAGGTTGGGCAAAGCCAGGGTGGAGCAGCACTGTAGCCATTGCCCGATCTCCGTGTTGCTCGCCCGGGGGATCGGAGCAGCCGCGCTCGTGTTTCTCACCCAAAAAACACCATTTCCCCCCTCCCCGGGGATGCGGTGCTGGCCGGTGCTGCTCGCCCCAACTCCTGCCCGCCACTGGTGGGGATTCACCCGGCTTTACTCTGCCCTTGTGGTTTTGGGTGAGCGTCTCCATCGCAGCGACAGCTCCCCGAGCCTTATCGCCCCCAAATCGTTCATTGAAAGTTTTCTGAAGTGTTATCTCATCTCCCGGCGCCGCAGGAGCACTTACCGCCCCGCGCCAGCGCCGCCAGTGCCGCCAGCAGCCACCCCAGCATCAGCCACCCGGGGTGTCCCACGCCGGATCCGGCCCTCCGCTGCCCTTCCTGGCCGCCCAGTCCCCCAGCACTCGGTGGGTGTCCCCCCCCAGCTCGGCGGCAGCCCCGGCGCTCGGCGCAGCTCCCCACGCCTGGTGTTTCCTCTTCTACTAAAAGCTTGCTGAAGGGCGGCCGTTCCCAGGCAGGGCAGAGGGCGAGGCGTGATTGCATGCCTCACTTTTACCAAAAGTAAAAGAGAAAGCAACGAAAATATCCCCCTTTTCTGCCTGCACGCCTGCCGGGACTCGGCCAAACCCTACCGGGGTTGTGCCGCGTGCCCCTGCCGTGCCGCATGCCCCGTCCTGGCAAGAAGCGCAAAGTAAGCAAAAGAGATGTCTTGGGGTTTTTGGGGTTTTTGCCTTTTTTTTTTTTTTGCAAACTCCACAGCATGCTTTTGATCCCCTGCCCGTAACCCAGCGAATCTCGAGCGGCTGCTCTAAGGTTGGGGGTTGTTCGGGTTTTTGGCAGCATGTGTGTGCGCACATGGCTTTCGCCGAAACCAGGCTCCTGTGTCCATCCCCAGCACGACTTGTCCCCTGCGGCCGCGAACAAAGGCCCAGTGAGGCAGGAGAGCGCGGTGTCACTGGGACGCCGGCAGCCGCGTGACGGGGCGGGTGACCCCGGGATGGTGGAGCCGGGTGGCACCGAGGGCCGCGCACAGAGTCCCCTTGTTCCCGCAGAAAGCGTCCCCTTGTGCGGCTTTTGCTCGGGGCGGGAGGGCGGCGGTGGCGGGAACGTCCCCGCGCCGGGACGGCGCTGCCGGGACCCCTCTGTCCCGCTGCCACGGGCATGGCTGGGGCGGGGGCACAGAGGGTCCCCTGGCACCTTCCGCCTCGCTGTGTGCCCCTCCTGCCCTCCCAGCTGGGGTACCCACCATGCTGGGCCATGCCACGCCAAACTGAGCCGTGCCAGGCTTTGCCGTGCCACAACATACAGCAGGACTGTGCTGTACCTGGCCGGGCTGTGCCAAGCCACGCTAAACCAGGCCAGGCCATGCTGTGCCATGCCACACTAGGCTGTGCCATGCTGGACCGTGCCATGCCGGACCGTGCCATGCCAGACTGGGCTGTGCCATGCCATATGGACCATGCTGTGCCATGCCAGCCGCGGGACAGACCTGGGCTGGCCCACACCGAGCCGGAGGGGCTGTTCCCACCCTGTGCCCTGCTGTGCCAGCTCCAGGCCATGCCGTGCTGGGCTGTACTGAGCCAGGCAGACTGTGCCGTGCTGTGCTGTGCCAGTCCTGTGTTGTGCCATGCTGTGCCGTGCTGTTCCAGCCCTGTGCCGTGCTGTGCCGTGCTGTGCTATGCCAGCCCTGTGCTGTGCCATGCCATGTTGTGCTGTGCCGTGCTGTGCCATACTGGGCCATACTGAGCCAGACAGACTGTGCCAGCCCCGGGCTGTGCCATGCCGTGCCAGCCCCATGCCGTGCCATGCCAGACCTTGCCATGCTGGGCTGTACTGAGCCAAGCAGACTGTGCCAGCCCCATGCCGTGCCGTGCTAGCCCTGTGCCATGCCGTGCCAGCTCTGTGCTGTGCCATGCTGTGCCATGCTGTGCTGTGCCATACTGTGCTGTGCCATGTCATGCTGTGCTGTGCCATACTATGCCATGCCATGCTGTGCTGTGCCATGCTGTGCTGTGCCATGCCGTGCCATGCCATGCTGTGCCGTGCCGTGCTATGCTGTGCCGTGCCATGCTATGCTGTGCCGTGCTGTGCTGTGCAGTGCTGTGCTGTGCCACCCCTGACGCCCACTGTGCAC